CTGGGGGCTGGGGTTAGCCAGGTTTCTAAGCGTAGAGAAGGCAGCCACTGGGAGATTTGGGGTCCAGAGCAGAGTTTCTTAAAAGAGAACCCGAGAAGTAAGAATCTCTTAGGAGGGATTCAGGGCAGGGGTCAAGGCAGAATGACTTCTGGCACAGGGGTGGCAAGCTGAGGGGCCAGGGGCTGGATTCAGCCAGGTGGACAGGCTTTGTCTAGGCGCATACATTTTGTTGTTGTTCGAACGTGACTGTTCCACGTAGGGCTTGGCCTCTACTCCTCCGTGTTTCCTCCACCCTCTAACATTCACTACTTGTCTGTGCCACCATCATTCAGCCCCGAGGGCACTGGAGGTGGCCGTCCCAGGGAAGGAGAGAGATCTGAACCGTGCTGGTTTCCAACTCACAGTTATCCCTTGAGCTGCGAGCAACTGCCTTCCAGTCCGGAGGCTTCTCTTTCCTTGGGGTTGATTTGGAGAAAGAAAGAAAGAATGGGGGAAAAAAGGAATATTTGTCATTATCGAGAATCATAAGCGTTGATGATCGTGAGCTTTCTGAGCGGTCATCCATGGAAGACGTTTCCTTTCGTGTTCGCCATATCATACCAGTATGGGCAGCAAACATATATTTACTTGTCTTCTTTAAAGTTTTCAAAAGGCCATCCAGCCTCCTTGCGTTAAATTCTCATCTATCTCCTAAAAAAAAGAAAAAACATCTCCCTTCCAAGCTTCTCCCATCCCCACAGGGCCCCTCAGCGCCTCTGTGCCCGAGGTGGCCTGCGTGGTAGAGGCTGGCTTTCTGGAGCGGTCCTTAAGTGTCCGAACCTGGGGAAGCTCCTTCCTTCAGATCCAAAGTGGGGACTTTGTGAGTCCCCTGCTGCCGCGTGGGTGGCAAGTGGTCCTGCCTCAGCCATAGGCCACTGAACATATAGATGAGTTACAGAGGGCTGGCCCTTCCGAACCCTCCGAACTCCCAACCCCACAGAGAGACCAGCTGCCCCTCCCCAGGTGGCGTGGGCCACACGAAACAGCCCTCCCCTTTACTCCTTCAAGTTCTATTTGCTCAGATCGTCCCCAGACAAGCTCCAGGACACCAAGCCATCCATCAGGTCTCACTGCCTCTACCTGAAGTCTCCTATCTGCTGAATTTGCCCATTTTCTGAGAGCCCCACCCCTCTTTCCTGTCTGTCTCCCCAGCTCTGTGCCCCCTCCCTCTCTCTCAAGTCCGGGCTCTGTCTTGTTCTCGCTGAGCTGCTCACACCCCTCAGTTCCAAGTTCTCGGGCTGCGGGTTTCCCCCCACCATCCCGGTTCATCATCCTCTTCCTCCCCAGGGCTGTGCCCTTCGGGTTACCCTGCTTACGCCCTCCAGCTTTGCCCTCACCCTCCCTCGGAGCCACCTCTGATCACTCCCTGAGCCCAGCTTACCGGACAGGGACAGGCAGGTGGCCCCGGCCCCAGGCAGCCCCCACCAGCAGCACCAGAGTCCAGACTGGAGGAGCCATGTGGGACCTCAGAGGCGGCTCTCGGGGGAGAGAGGAAGGCACAATAAGCCCGGGCCACTTTATCCACCCCTGACCCTCCTCGCTTGACAATCTTCGGAGAATGCCATGAAAGCCAGATAGAGAACACGGGAGCCCTCTGGGAAATGGAAACTATGAGGGTGGAAATGTAATCTCCATCAAAGAGAAATGAAGTGAGAGCAGGAGAGAAGGAAGGCAAGAAAGACAAGAGAAAGAGACTCAGAGAACCCGTCTGGGAAGTCTAACATCCAACAAAAGGGTTCAAAACAGAAGGAACCAAGGAGAAGAAATGCCTTAAGAGAAACCACACAGGAAGATTTCCCGGGACTGAGATACAGTCTCTTGATTAGAAGGGGTCTCGTTTGATGAATGCAAGGACACCCATGGAAGGCATGTCATGAGATTCGAGAGTAGCAGGGGGGAAGAGAAGACCCTAACCACTTTCAGATAGAAAAAAGCAAGTCACATACTTTCTAAGGATTGGGAATCAGCATGGCGTCAGGCTTTTCAATAGCAACCATGGGTTCTAAAAGGCCATGGAACATTGTCTGCAGAATTCCAATGGAAAATCATTTCAAACCTAAAATTCTATAGCTGGCAACAGTGGCATAAACGACTGGCCAGTCAAATGAGGTGGGACTGGAAACGCTTAATGGCAGAGAACTGAAAAAGACAAGTCCCACAGAAGACATGCCACCAGCTGGTAAACATTGGAAAAGAGGTTCTGTTTCACTAGTACTAAGGAAAATGCTAGTCAAAACTACAGCTGTCACAGTGACCACCGTTTAAGTGACTGAAAGCATTGCGTGTTGGCCAGGATGTAGGTAGACACTCAAATACACTGGTGCTAAGACTGTAGGTTGGGGAAGACTTCTCAGAAGGTAATGTGACAGTGACTCTTAAACTTTCTAGCGTGCATGGTTTCGACCCACCTTATTTTTCTAGGAATCTCTCCACAGAAATCCACGTGTATTTGCCTAAAGCTGGGCACACCTTAAAGATGATCATTGGCGTATGGGTTATAATAGGAAAAAAAAAATCAAGATTACCTAAATGTTTACCAGCAGATAGACAGTTGGATCACACTCAAGGAATATTTTTTCATATGAAGGAATATTATGGAGGTATTAAAAAGAATGGCACCCTTCAAAAATTAAAAATAGACTTACCATAGGGTCCAGCAATTCCACTTCTGGGTGCGTAGACCCAAAAGAATTAAAAGCAAAGACTTGAAGAGAGGCAGTATTTGCCATAACCAAAAGGTGAGAGCAGCCCAAGAGTCAAACAAAATATGGTGTATTCGTACAATGGGATATCATTCCACCTTTGAAGTGAGGAAATTCTCACACATGCTACACCATGGAGGAGACGATGCTGAGTAAAGCAAGCCCGACACAGAAGGACAAATATAGGATTCCGCTTATCCTAGTTAACTGCAGCAGTCAAACTCCCAGAGACGGGAAGTAAAATGGCCATTGCCGAGAATGGGGAGTTAGTGCTTAACTGGGACAGAATTTCCGTTGGGGAAGATGAAAAGATTCCGTGGATGGCCAGCGGTGATGGTTTCCCAGTGTGAATGTACTTAATGACACTGAATGGTGCACTTAGAAATGGTTAAGAAGAGGGATGCCTGGCCGGCTCAGTGGGAAGAGCATGAGACTCTTGATCTTGGGATCGTGAGTTCGAGCCCCATGTTGGGTGTAGAGATGACTTAAATAAATAAGATTTTTTTTTAAAGATTTTAAAATGGTTAAGAATGGGGCGCCTGGGTGGCTCAATCCTTAAGCATCTGCCTTCGGCTCAGGTCATGATTCCAGGGTCCTGGGATCGAACCCCACATCGGGCTCCCTGCTCGGCGGGAAGCCTGCTTATCCCTCTCCCACTCTTCCTGTTTGTGTTCCCTTTCTTGCTGTGTCTCTTGCAAATAAATAAAATCTTAAAAAAAAAAAATGGTTGATAAGGTAAATTTTATGTTATGAGTCTTTCCACAATTAAAAATTATTTCACGGGGTGCCAGGGTGGCTTGTATTTCCTCTCTTGCTGTGTCTCTCTCTCAAATAAATAAAATATTTAAAAATAAATAAAAATAATTTCAGAAATATTGCTTGATGTTCTAACACTGTTAAAGCTTATTTCTGGCTTAAAGAAGAAGGGAATGATGATAGATCGAGATGTTCTGATAGTGGAAGGAGAACCTGCATATGTTACTAAATGAAAGAGGCTGAAAAGCCCAGAACACAGACAATAGGAGGGACAAGCCGGCTCTGCAAAGGGAGGGGTGGGGAGGGGACCTTCCCGAGGCATGTTTAGTAGCCTCTGTTTTTTGTTCGTTTGTTTTTCAAAGATTTTATTTATTTATTTATTTATTTATTTAACGGAGAAAGAGAAAATAAGCAGGGAGAGCAGCAGAGAGAGAGGAAGAAGGAGAAGCAGGCTCCCCCGCTCACCAGGGGACCGCCCCCCCCCCCCCGCCTTTGCAGGGCTCAAACGCAGGACCCTGGGATCAGGACCTGAGCCAAAAGCAGATGCTCAACCGACTGAGCCACCCAGGTGCCCCTAAAGATTTTATTTTTAAGTAATCTCTACACCCAACATGGGACTCAGATTCATAACCCTGAGATCAAGGGTCGCAGGCTCCACTGCCTAAGCCAGACAAGTGCCTGTGGCAGCCTTTGTTTTACCTGTGGAGTAGAAGGCGAGCAGAGAAAGCTCTGGGGGCAAGCAGGCCACAGCAATATCCCTCTCAGGGGCTCCATGGCAGTCCTGCCCACAGCCAACTCACCCCTACCTTCCAGCTTGGGCTCATACCAGCTGCCCTCCTCTGGCCAACGCCTTCCTTGCCCAGCACACTTTACAATCCTCAGGGCTTCTCACCACACACCCTCTGAGGGGCTGACCACAGGTGGCCAAGCAGACAAGCACTTTGGTAGGGAGCGCGTAGGGGTCCCTGGCTCCCCAGGTCCCTGGTGACAGGAAGGGAAAGTTTTTGGAAAGAGGTGACACCTGAGAGGCTTTCTAAGCCACAGAGAGATGGTAATGAGGCAAAGAAGTTGGGATGGCACAATCAGGAAGAGAGAATGTTCCAGGCTTAGAGGGAGCATGATATTTTTAAAGAATGGTCTGCGTCGGGGGTGCCTGTGTGGCTCAGTGGGTTAAAGCCTCTGCCTTCAGCTTGGGTCATGATCCCAGGGTCCTGGGATCGAGCCCCGCATGGGGCTCTCTGCTCACCGGGGATCCTGCTTCCTCCTCTCTCTCTGCCTACTTGTGGTCTCTGTTTGTCAAATAAATAAATAAAATCTTAAAAAAAAAAAATGGGAATGGCGTGTGTGTGTGTGTGTGTGTGTAACACTGGGAAGAGGCAGGGACCCTGTCTTGGGGAACCTTGAATGCTTTGAGGAACCACCAAAAGTTTTTAAACAACAAGGGTTACCTGACCCGACTTGCATTTTCAAAAGGCCACTCGGGCAGCCTGGGCAGATGTGGACCAGAGTGGGGCCTGGCTGGAGCTGGGGGGACAGAAGAGGAGGCTGTCAAGGGTGAGAGATGGTGGCATAGTTGCACACTAACATCAAGACAGCACGAGAGGGGACATGAGCAGATCGAGAACTTTCCAGAAGCCAGAAACAGCCATTCTTGCGGGCTAACCTCACTGAACCTCATGTCCTCCTCACTGTAAAATTATTGTCCTCATTTTCCAGGTGTAGAAACTGAACTCCAAAGAAACAAATCGTGTCCAAATTTCCCATATCCCACCACACCCAGGTGTTCCTAGAAACCTTTGGTTTCATTCCCTTCACCTCAGCAGCCCCCTACTCTCTGCCATCAAATCTACGCCCAGGGCACTGGGCCTTTGCCCCTGACAAGTGAAAGGGGATGCCTGGGACAGCCATTCTCACGAGCCAGGGAGGGGCCGGTACAGTCGTGCACCAGGCATTGGAGAGGCAAGTCCCCAACCCCCTCACAGACCTGGGGACTCCTGCCTAAATGAGCACCGATAGGACCACCGAGGGGTCAGATCAGGGGAGAGAGAGATCCTCTCTGCCTCTTGACATCAAAGCGGGACATGTAAAGGATGCCCAGCCCCCACCCTGATCGACCCTTCCTCCATACCAGGTTAGGAGAACAATCAACAGAGGGACAGAGCCAGGAAATGGTTAACCCAGGGAAGAGCCGCAGAAGCAAATTGACCCACAGCCCCTCCTGGTTGGGCAATAAGTCCTCTGAGGGCTGCTTTTGCTGACCTCTCTTTGGCGCCACAGAGCCACAGAGCGGGACAGTCACAGCTTCCAACCTGTCTGGGGTGGGGGTTGGTGTGCGAGGCAGGACAGGATGGGGTGGTGGTGTGGAAGGACACCACAGGGCTCTGCATTTTGGGTTGTCAGAATGCACAAGGCCCCTGAGGGTTTGTCACTTGGTCAAGCCTAGCAGCTGCAGGCAGAGGTGTGAGGGACCCCGGCATGTGGAAGAACCCCAAAAGTGCTCCAGAGAATTAACGCCAGTCCTGGCTTTGCTGTGTTTCCTTAAACAGTACTCTCCCTCTCTGGGCCTTAGTTTGCTCTTCTGCAAAATGGAGAGACTAGCACAGCTAAGTTCTTTTAAAAGCAGAAATAGTGGGCAGGTCACATAAATTTTTTTTATTAATCAATTTTTTTAAATCAAGAGGAGAGGGGGCACCTGGGTGGCTCAGTCGGTTAAGCCTCAGGTCATGATCTCAGGGTCCTGGGATCAAGCCCTGCATCAGGCTCTCCACTCAGCAGGGAGCCTGCTTCCTCCTCTCTCTCTGCCTGCCTCTCTGCCTACTTGGGATCTCTGTCAAATAAATAAAATCTTGGGGGGAAAAAAAGAGTTCATGGACATTTGGTCATGACTCACATAAATTGGGAAACCATACTACTGTCTGCTTTTCTGTGGCCAATCATCTTTCATAATGTCATTTTATGATGGAATTATAGAGGAATTACCTTCAACCAGCTGGAAAAAAAAAATGTAGTTAACATTCAGCTTCGATTCCAATGTCTAAGAGGCCCCATTTAGCTAATTCAAATCCAGCATCACTCATCTGCTATGATGAGAAGAGGATTCCGAGTAGTTCAGGAAAATCTTAGGTGACCTGTGGGCTGGGGTCAAACAGGTGCTTTTGGTCAGCCTGATGGTCAGGCCCAGGGAGAAGGTTTGGGCCAATAGGAGGCAGTCAAGGTGGGAGCTAGGGCTGTAGGAGGTGGCTGAGTTGGTCCCTAGTTCTGGGGGACTTGGGTGGTGGGGAGGATAGGAGGGAAGACGTGGGAGCCAAAGGCAGGAGATGGAGCGGGGAGGAGATTTTATTTTTTTAAGATTGATTGATTGATTGATTGATTTGAGGAGGGGCAGAGGGAGAGAATCCCAAGCAGACTTCCTGCTGAATGAGGGTCTTGATCCCATGACCCATGAGATCATAACCTGAGCCAAAACCAAGAGTCAGACATTCAACTGACTGAACCACCCAGATGCCCCTTGGGGCAGAGTTGATACTGAGAGAGGGAAGGGCCTAATGGCTCCGTGACCTGGAGCTGCTTCCTCCCCTCCAAGTCACTCCCTCTACTCTCCTTTCCTTATGATCCCTGCTTCTGCTAGAAGAAGGAACAGGAATCAGAGAGCCTGGGTCCTTCCTGGTCCTTATCTTCCGCTTAGTATCTTAACGCCTGGGCAAGACCCATAATCTCTCTGGGCCTCGGTTTCTTCCTCGGCAAAATGGAGATCCCCCACCATCTCTGCCCTCCTCATGCAGTTAGGAGAGCAAATAAGAAAATGCCCAGGAAGGCACCTCATAAATCGCAGAGCACTCTACAAACAGAAAGCATCTCCATTAAACAATTATGTAATCCGCTGACTCAGAACTGGGCGGCACTGGCTCCTGTCCTGCCAGGAAGTTAGCAGAGCTGGCTCCATCATTTTACGTGGTGGAACTAGGTTGTATTCTCCCCATCTGGCAAATAGGGTTGATACCTAAGGGCCTCCTGTTTCATGGACATGTGAGAATCGCTGCAGATCCTGTAGGCTCCCGAGTTTAATATATTGTGAATCACCATAACAATAGTACAGAGGAAAGTTCACATCCCCAGCCTGCACTGGAAGACCATTTGAAATCTGGCAACACCCTCCTGGGGCGGGGGGTGTCTCTTTGGAGGACATTGGGCTGCGAGAGGCACAGACTGTCATTTCACGTTTTCCTAGCGCTTGGTGCAAAGGCTGCCACAAAGTAGGCACTCTGTAAATGTGGAATAAATGAGTTACATTTTTTTTAAAAAGATTTTATTTATCTATTTGACAGACAGAGATCACAAGTAGGCTGAGAGGCAGGCAGAGAGAGAGGGGGAAGCAGGCTCCCCACTGACCAGAAAGCCCGATGCAGGGCTCGACCCCAGGACCCAAGACCATGACCTGAGTTGAAGGCAGAGGCTTAACCCACTGAGCCACCCAGGCGCCCCAATGAGTTACATTTTTAATGTCTTAGCACACTGGCCCCAGGTCATATGGTTCAGGTTCCATTAACTTTAACTTTGTTTTGTTTTGTTGATAGAAAGCAGTAAGCAGTCTGAAAAGAAGTCAAGGAATAAGGTAGGTGGCCCTGACTTGTGGGTAAAAAAGATCCAGGTACTGGATGGGCCCGGGGAATGTCTAGGTGGCACAATGGGCTAAGATGTGCTTGGGGGTCATGAGTCCTAAACCTTGGGTTTGGGTCCTAGTTGCCATTCTTAGCTGCATGCCTTGGGTTTCAGGACAGTTCTCTTAGCTTCTTGCCATCGAGAAAGACAAATTCCTCCCTTCCTGATTCACAGCAGTGGGGCAAGAACCAGATGCCATCCGTGGAAACCTCAATACAAAAAAATTTTTTTAAGATTTTATTTATCTATTTGACAGACAGAGATCACAAGTAGGCAGGGCCGGGCAAAGCAGGCTCCCCTGCTTGAGCAGAGACCCGACGCGGGGCTCGACCCCAGGACCCTGAGATCATGACCTGAGCCAAGGGCAGAGGCTTTAACCCACTGAGCCACCCAGGCGCCCCTGCAATACAAATTTTTATTGGAATGTGCAAAGATCACCACTCCAGGAGTTCTTTCACTTGTAGATGTCTCTAACATTTCCCAGTAGGGCCTGAAGAGGGCACTGTACCCCAGGAGCTGGGTTGGCCAGGGTGAAAATTCTCCTTTGGGTCTATCTCTGCGTTGATTTCTCCCACCACGCTTCACCCCTGCCCCCAGCACACACATATACTTGGCGAATACCTCCAATCCCCCAACCTACCCCTAATTTGCCCTGCTGCAAGTTACAAAAATGTTCTCTTTTGCTATTTTCAGGGGTACGGGCTGACTTCTCTAAGTTTTGTGATACGAGCAGAAAGACTAGTCCCCACATATATGATAATGGTCAGGACTGGTCTCTTGGGGTACGTTGCAGCTGAAGCATCATTTCTGGGGAGGAATTTGAGGTGGATCGTTGAGAGTAATGGGTGAAATTAGAAGTAGAGATGGAGAGCAGAAGCTGAGTGAGTTTGTTCTGTGTCCCCCATCCCAGGGGCGCAGGGAGGGATTATAAGGAAGGTAAGTGACTAGGTGAGAGCTGGGGGCACTTGGGGGTTCCTGCTACCTTGGCTTTGGGCAGTTAGTATATTTTTCCATCTGTTCCATGGGAATGACCGTGGAAACTTTCTCCAAGTCGTGCAAGGAATAAAATGAGGTCATGGAAGCGAACCACCTAGAATAGCCCTGGGCATGGAGCGCTCAGTGAGACCACTGTCGGGAACGTGGCTCCTTCTGCAAGTTCCAGGGGAGAGAGCATTAATGGTGACCATCCCCAGGCAAGGAAAGGGGTCAGCTGAATTTAGAGATGGCAAAGGCTGATGCAGGAATGTGGCTTTAGCCAGAGACGCCACAGAGAAGAAGAAAGAAAAAATAAGGGGCCACTGGCCAGAACTAGAAGCTGCCACCAGCCCCCAAAGGGGCTCCTGTTTCCTTGATGGCAGCTGTAGCTCACTAAAGAGCATTGCCAGCTGCATACTGAGGAATAGCCTTGAATGGAACCACCTTATTGACCGGCGTGGGCAGAGCTGTGGCCTCAAGCCCAGTGGGGTCAAGAGGTCAGACAGGCCATGCGAGGCAGCACGTAGGGCCTGGACCCCCTCCACCTCTAGTTTCCCAGGGCTGTGGCCTGCTGCCAGGGTGGGAGCAGGGCCTGGGAAGTAGGGGGCTCCCGGGAAAACAGAAAAGTCAAGAGCCATGATGTGGTTTCAGTTCTTGCCAGTGAGATTGAAAAATACACAGAACTTGGACCCAGTGAGAGCCAGGGGCCAGCCCCCATCCCATCGTCATGGCTCCCACACCCTTTGTCCAGTGGGTTCTTGCTGTCATGGGAGTATCTATGAGACCTGGAGAATTCACGGCTTGCCACCGAAATTCTCCAGTCCCTCCTGTCCTTGCCTGATAGGTGCAAAAAAGAGGTATTTGCCCTCCAGCTTGGCCTGGCATCACCGTTCAGCAGGGCACTGAGGTGAGTTTTGGTGTCTCCCCAGCAAGGCTCTGTCCCCAAGTTTAAGCCGATTTCCTCCGACTTCCTCCTGCTTCGGGGCCTCAGGCTGGCCCTATGACATCCTTAGATCTGGACAGTCCTTCTGGCCCTTGAGATGTCACCCCTGGCCGTGGAGTGTCCGTGGGACAGGCTAGTGCTGAGCTGCTCACCCCTCGACAGGGGTCAGGAGTGGGGGTGCAGAGGCGTGGCACAGACAGCAGTGGTAAGTGAGGTGGTGGACGTGTCCAGGGTGGGAGCACCTGGTCACCTGTCCCCTCTCCTGCAGGCCTCCCCTGTGTACAGCGTCAGCTTGCCCCGCAGGAAATTGGAGTAGATTCGGAAAAGTTTGCACAAAGTATCAACAGTGAATGTTCGGAGTGGAGCAGCAGAAGCTTCCTCTGGAAGGGAGCTGGCCTCCTTCTGCCAAGGAGACAACAGAAAGTTACCGCAGTCGGGGGAAGGGGGGGACCCTGGAGGTGAGGTGTGAGGCTCCTACCCACCTGGGCTCCCAGCGCCCGCAGCAGGGAGGTGAGGCTGCGTAGGCTACTGACGGCTTTGTCCACATGCAGCCGCAGGATCTCAGACGGCTGCGAGGCGTTGGCCAACAGGGCCTGGCCCCGCACGATGGCTTCCGAGAGCAGAGCCAGGCCCTGCCAGACTTCCACGGCCTGCTGCCCGACCTAAAGCAAATGGAGACTTGGAGTCAGCAGCCCAAGCCCCCCTCCCTCTCAGCAGCCCCAAGCACCAGCCTGAACAAAGTGAAGGCTTAGAATCAGTTTTGTTGAACGAATGAATGAATGAATGAATGAACAAGAACAAACGAAGGAACATAATGCATTCAGCCCTCATCTTCTTCTGTCGCTCTCCCTCCCATCCCATCAGGTTCCCACAATGAGACTCCCCATGAAGAAGGAAAAAATAAACTCACGTCCATCCTCTTCCAGGTGTAGAAATTAACCTTGGTGTCTGGGACGGTGATATTCTCACTGAAGCTGCAGCCTTGAGCACAGCCCATCTGAAATGCACCCGCCGGGGTGGGTTGGGGTGGGTCAGGCTCCCCAAAAGCTCCGTCCACCTTTGGCCCTTACCTAGCTTCCAGGTGAGCACTGGAGACACCACTTGTATCACTTCCACTGGGGGCTCTGACTTCCCACCTTCTCCACCCGTGAACCAAGTACCAGGAAGGGGATTCCGGTTCCTGGATCCTGGAGGACACCCTTGGACTCCTGAGAGTGAGTTCTGTGGACTGTCCTGAGGAGGGGGCCTCACCGTGACATTTTCTGCCTCCCGGGCCTCCAGGATGTATCTCTCCAGGACTCGGCTGTCACAAATGAGGCGAGGGGGGGCGCCCAGGACTGGGAGGCCCAGAGGAAGCAGCAGCAAAGACAGCAGAAGCAACAGGGCAGGACATTCTAGAAAAGAGTGCCAGGCTGAGTGTATGGCTTTGGAGTGGCAGGTTCACACATCCTGCTCCATTGCCCCCAGCGAGGCGCTCCGGACCCCCCACCTTCCCAGCGCTCGAGTTCTGCCTCCTCTGCCTTCATTCAATCCGCTGCGGCACACACCCTCCCCCGTAAACTACCGGCATCCACTTCTCCAGGACAAACTTCGATCCCGGTGTGACAGAGGCGTCCCTTTTCACAGATCCCGGTGATTGCTCCAAGACCCAGGTATCCGCTGTCCCCCCCTCGCACGTAGCAGCCCTTCTTCTCCCGGAACCCCCCAACCGCGCCCCCTTGTCCAGGTCGGATTTCACCTTTCACAGGGGCTCCTTAAGCCCTGCCGGCACGTGGAGGCTGCCCCATCCCCCTTGCCCTTCCGGGGTCCTTGGCAGGTTGTCGGTCCTTGAACCCAGTCACCTCGGGGCCACTAGCCCCAGCGGTAAATTCCTGCTCAAACAGGGGCCCGGGCGGGCGGGGGCTCCTCTGGCCGGCGAGTACTCACCGCACACCCCCATCTCCGCGCCTCCCCCGGCCCCTCAGCGACCAGGGGCTCGGCCGGCGCCCTTGCCGGGAGCCCTCATCCTGGGAATCGCGGTGGGGCAGGGCCGCGGGTCCCCACCGCCCGAAGTAGGGGGCCGCCGTCCAGGGGCCGCCGAGCTGGGGTCGCACGGAGCGAACGCAAGGCTCTCGGCCAGGGTCCGCGAGGAGTGGCGCGCGGCGACCGGCCGGGGTTGGCCCGGGGACTGCGGCTCGGCCGGGGGTCGGGGCTGTTATCAGCATGTGTGCGTGCGTGTGTGGGGGTGGGGGGCAGGCTGTGTGCGTGAGGGGTCGCCAGAGGTAAGGGCCAGAGGGGTCAGACCGGGGCAGGACGCCTGGGTCCGGGGCTCGCCGGGGTGGGAGGAGAGCGGCCGCAGGAGCGGAGCGGGGCACCAGTGTGCCCCGCCGACCCCGGGTTCTGGGAGGCGCGACTGGGTGCTCACCGGCGGGAGGTGCGCATTCCCATTCCGGGAAAGGCTGGGGACCTCGTGGCTCCCCCCATCCCGGGGTGGGGGTGTGGTTGCGGGGGGCGGGTTGGCACGTCCCAGTCTTGGGCGGGGGTTCAGAGCTGGGAACGCCGGTTCCTGGCAGAGGCAAGCTGCCTTCCTTCTCACGATCCCAGTATATGTTCTAGAAGCCAGTATTGTTTATGTTGAGGAATTTGATGGGGGCACACGGAGTAAGAAATGTGGGGGTCTTCTGTCCCCCACTCTTCACTTTTCTAGGACTCTGAAAGCCCAGAACTTGAACTTTGAGGGCACTGGGCACATGGTCTGTTGTGCAGGACACGTGTGCACTTTGACATCCTTTTTGTTCTTTGTTGTTTGGGGTTTTGACCTGTGATATAGGTTAGCTTGCCTGGCGAAATTCGTTAGAACTCTGAAACAGGGCTGTTCCCCAGACAGGTGGTGGCTGAGATTTGCAGCTAAGCCTCAGGGGCTTCTAGGAAGCAGGGGGCCAAGCCCCCTAGAGCAGGAGTCGGAGGCGGGCTGGCCTCTCACACCTTGGAAAGTGGTCTCAGTCCTGAGCCTCAGTGCCCTGAGTCAAAGCAGGGTGTGTGATGAGGTCTCCGTTCCAAAGTCCTACAAATACAGGTAGTTATGTATCTTTCCTGGCTTCCTTCCCAGTTCTGTGACAAGAAAGATATTTTATTCACAGGATCAGTGCCTTCTTTGTGCAAGTCAGGTGACTACAAACTTTGCAAGACAAAAAAGATGTGTTTGAGAGCTAGCTCCCGCCTCCTGGAGTTTGTAGCTTACAACAGAGATAAGATGGGTACACAGGGCAGTGGGTGAGGACCGGAGCGTTCAGAGCCTAGCAGGAAGGGTTTGGAAGAGACAGAGCTCATTGTTAGCTAGGGGAGTCGATGAATATTTGATGCAGAGGGTGACATGAGCTCAGCCTTGAGTGGCCCCCCGCATTTCAGTAGGAAGAGATGTGAAGTGGGAATGAAGGCAGTTCAGCAAGGGAAAGGGGGGAGGGGTCAGGTGTGTCAGGATGGAGGGTGTGGACTGCAAAGGTGGCCGACACTAGGCCGGAGGGCTGGTTAGGGAGTGGTCGGGTTGTGAAGGGCCTTGAATGCCGCTCTTAAGAATTTGGATTTGGGGCACCTGGGTGGCTCACTTGTTTGAGCATCCGGCTCTTGGTTTCAGCAGGTCGTGATCTCATGGGTCATGCAATAGAGCCCTGCATGGGCCCCACGCTCAGCGGGGAATTTGCTGGAAAGATTCTCTCCCTCTGGCCCACCCCGCCATGTGTGCAGGCACGCTCTCTCTAAAATAAAAAAAAGAAGGGGCGCCTGGGTGGCTCAGTGGGTTAAGCCTCTGCCTTCAGCTCAGGTCATGATCTCAGGGTCCTGAGACCTCTGCTCAGCAGGGAGACTGCTTACCCCCTCTCTCTGCCTGCCTCTCTGCCTACTTGTGATCTCTCTCTCTCTCTCTCTCTCTGTGTGTGTGTGTCAAATAAATAAATAAATAAACTCCTTTAAAAAAATAAAATAAAAAAAGAAGTCTTAATTTAATTTAATTTAATTTAATCTGTGTGTGTGTCAAATAAATAAATAAATAAAATCTTTTAAAAAATAAAATAAAATAAAGAAGTCTTAATTTTTTTTTTTTTTTTTTTTTTTTTAGGAATTTGGATTTTGTTTGTAAAGAGTGGGAAGCACTCATTCATTCGTTTATTTGGGAAATGAATATTCATCTAAGAAATACATATGAGTACCTAATTGTGGCCGGGGACCTGGGGATAGAATGAAACAGACAAGAGGGCCTACCCTGGTGGGGCTGACATTCTAGTGGTGAGGCGAGAAGACCAAGACAAAAATGAATGAAAGAGGATCTGCCAGGGCAACAATGGACCAAGGAGACCGGGCATGGAAGGGACCAGGAGTGTTGGCGGAGGCTGCAGGTTTAGATGGGGCAGTCGGGGAAGCCGTGCTGAGTGTGACTTGAATAAAGGCAGATGGAGGTGAGGGAGGGAACCGTCAGGTGGGGTAGAGCATGATTAAAGAGGGGGTCAGGAGAAGGAGAGGCGGGACACAGAGGCTGGTGTGCCTCCCGTGGGAAGTCATGAGGGCCTGACTCGCTCGGATCCCCCTCCTCTGCCCTCTGCTCACCTCCAGGCCCTGTTCTGGGGTCCCGCCTCAACCCTGGCATCCTGACTCCCAGTCTGCACACCCAACTATGCCTCTGGTCCCAGTTTGCCTCTTAGCACCCAGGCAGCTTCCCAGCCCTGCCTGGCCTTCGGAGCCGGGGTCTGCTTCCCTCCCAGATCCCAGCTGTGGGACGAGCACACGTACACTCACGTCCACACACGTCCACACATGCGTTCTGGCCCGACTCCCCCTACCCCCCAGCCACTGCTGTCCGGTCCCCTGACTCCTGCGTCACTGCCCTGACCTGACCATGGAGAGGGGGCCGGGGACGGATGGGGGTGGGGGGTAGACACGGCCTAAGGAGACAGAGGAGAGGAGGAGCCTTTTGGACTGTGGGACTTGCTGTTTCCCTCATAGCAACTTGTGGGAGGCCTGACTTCACCTCTGCCTTCAAGGAAGGAGGAGAGATGGACCATAAGCACCAGTGCCCAAGTGGTAGGGCCTACTGGCTGGGGCTGGTGCTGGCTCATCCTCTGGGACTTTTGGAGAAAACCCTCTGATCGCAGCTGGGGGAGAGAAGGTGCAGGAGAGGATCTCGGTCCTCCCCACACCCACCCCCTAAGCTATAGCAATTCTGCCAGAGGGCAGAGCCTGGTATGGGGGCCAACTTCAACCCAGGTTCTCTTGTCTACTGCCCAGCAGGGTCCAGCTACCTGCCCTTGATATCAGGGGACCCTGAAAAGCAGAGAGAAAACAGGAAGCTCCTTGGGGCTTCCCCTCTCACACGGGCCACCCCCTGCCAGTGCCCCCTCCATCTGCCTCTGTGTGTCCCTCTGGCACGGTGCGGGCTGCTGCAAAGGGTCTCCTCCCTGATCTCTCCTGTCAATCCCCACTAGTTCCCCCCTTGAATAGCCTCATTCGTGTCATACCCCTGAGCAGGAGCCTGCTGTGGCTCCTGGTTGCGTCAGCTCTGAGACCCTCTGTGTTCTGCCATCTACCCACCTCTCCAGCCTATTCCCCCACTTTGCTCATTCCCTTTCCTTCCATCACATGAACTCAGTTAGATGCTTCCCGCCTTTGGCTCACTCTGTGCTTTTCACCTGCATCACCTTCTCACACTATCTCCCCCCTCTCCATTCTTCAAAGCCCAAACCAAAGCCTTACGCTCCTCTCTGAAGCTTTCCCTGATCCCCCCGCAGAAAGTTCTCTCCTTCTGCACTGCCGTCATTTATGGATGTGGCTTAGGCCTCCTGCCAGCTGGGCCACCATGCACGGCTTTCAAGATGGAGCACTGCACAACTCTGGGAGGCGCCGTTCATACAGACTCACAGGGAATGGAACTCTCTGTTGTCACACAGCACAGGTGACTTGTTCATCAGAAAGAGCAGAGGATGGTGTAGGGTGGGTCTTGTTCATCTTGGGACCCCCAGGGACCTAGCATGTTGCCTCTTTATGGTATGTGTTATAGGTGGTCCCTCCACTCCGGAGACCTGAGAGAAGGGGAGACCTAAAGTGGAGAAGTGAGCCATTCAGTGTCTCAGTGCTTGCTGGAGCCAGGCTGCATAACCTAGCTCCGGGATCTCGGGGGCCTGGGAAGCCTCCATCCACTTCCTGAGCAGCAGCCACTGAGGCAGGGTCTGAAAAGGGATGGGTGTGACAGGAGGATGGCGGGGGTGGAGGCAGGCTCTGTTCCATGGAGACTTCCTGGCAGCCGCTTGAGACCGAAAGTCCAAGGAGAAGCAAATTTACAGCTCCCCTGAGCTCCCCCAGACCCCAAGGCAGCACGAAGCCCCAGCTGCCTGGAGTTGTGTTAGGGACGAAGGAGGGGGGGACTCTGGGCCTCCCTTCAGTGGCTCTCAGCTTGGCTGGAGGGTTCAGCCAGCAGCCTGCA